TGTCAATCATAATAACGACATGCGTTAATAATCTGGAAAGCAGGTGAAATTCGAATACGCAAATTTGTGACATCCAGGAATTCACAGTCACTTTGAGTTACAGAAACAACCATACAACGAGAACGCAGTGGTGGAGGATACTAAACACTTCATTCTTTGGGGAATGAGAATATAAGTGTTTATTTCATTAAAGAAATAGCTTTAGGTTTTACAACTTAGTACTTTGAGTACAGTTTTGATACGTATCCATGGATCTTCAAAAAAACTAGGATAGGAAGAAAGAAGTAGAAAGGGAAGGAAGGAGACATAAATAGGAGAGAAAAAAATAGAACCAAACGGCTAAATGAACGAAGAGATGAACGAATGACTGTATGATTAAACGATTGCAGGACAGACCTACTGCAAAACTGATTAGCTGATTGAAGGAAATAATGACTAAATAAATAACGTAAGTGAATCAGTAAATGGACTATGTACTAAATGAATATGCAAAAAATAAAGGAAAGAAATTACAAAATGAATTACTAAATGACTATAAACGACTAATCGATTGTACTGACTGCAAATCAACTGCGGGACTGAATGGCAGCGGATTTGTTCAATGAATCGATGAACCGAAACAACAGATGAATGTACGCATGGATTGATACTTGCATGAAGAAGTGAATGAGTGAGCGACTGATTTCTAACTGAAAAATCTTCCTCCATCGATATGGCTTTTTAAACTACATTTTTAGCACACAGGGAATATTTTAACCATTTTTTTCGTTAAGGTCTTCAACGGATTTATTTCGCATATTATCTTTACATAACATAATCCTGAGATTCTGGATCATATTTGATTCGCCTTCTACTTGAACTTCTCCACTGATTCTCCATTTATCTGAAGAGAACAACGGGCAGGCAAAGGAGGAAGCACGAAGCTCTCGGTATATCTGTGCTTATTTCACTGCATCTACCTCATTTATGCACGATTAACTGCAATGTAGGCATATTAAGTCGAAATGCACAAGACGTCATCATCTGAAATAATACTTTTTGCTGACAACTTACCTTCTGCGTTCTTTTCGCTGTTGCAGCTGAACATGTACTCCGTGTGCAGATTTTTCAGGTACTCCTGCACCTCCTCTGCCTTTTTGAAATCTATGAAAGCCATTAGTGACCTTCAATCAGACAAAAACATATCGTCTAAGATCCGACATGTCAGTAATCCATCTCAGTTGAAAAAGTCTTGAATTTGCAGTCGTTTTCCACTATGAGCGCAGGGTGATCGAGAGGTGATGGATCGAACGAACGCGGACTATAACCCTCAAGCACTGGCAAACGGCTGATCGGAAGACTATACCAGTTCTAGAAAAATCGATGAACTTTAGGTTGAAAGAATAAAATACAGTACAAATCATCATCAGCATTATCATTATCATCATTATCATGATCTTCCATCGCCGCTTCTCCTTTCGGGTCGCGGAGGCAGACGCGTCAGACAGTGCTTCCAACG